TCTTTCATTCAGACTGAATATGAGAAAGAATCTCACGTTATCCAAGTCAACTGTGTAATAATATTCTGTGCTAGTATGAGTCAGTTATTTATGTGGTTGTCAGTCCATTGGAAAAGGTTAGTATTGTTTTATTGTGATATGTTAATTTTTATTACAACATAGTATGTGAAATTAGCAAACTTCTTGCAAGTGTGCACTATTTTTTTTATTCTTCATTTGGGTGTAGTTCAAAACTAGGGACTGATTGGGATTGACTTCTGTGTGCGCGTCTGTGCAATTGTGCTTCCATGAGTGCATCTGCACCCATATCTTAGACATACTTGGACCGATTACATTCAAAATTCACACATACACATATGTAACATCATACATATGCACATCAATTTGTTTCACAGTCTGATTCAAGATGACTGAATGGTGGCTATTTTTGTGCTGAAGTTTAAACTTGGTACATACATTGGGCATTATGAGAAGTTGATGCACGTCTTTTTGTTTTCGAGATCAGATTCAAAATGGCTGACTAGTGGCCCTTTTTAATGAATGCAGTTCTAGAGCTATATCTCTAACATCCTTTTACTGATTATGTTTAAATTTTATTTGTGCATTATACATCATGTCATAGATATATAGATGTATTCGATTCAAAATGACCAACCGGTGGCCATTTGCTTTTCCAGAGCAATATTTCTCAATATGGACAAGTACTTGTTTGACAATCAGATACAAGATGACTGAATGTCAATCATTTTAATGTTAAAAAATCATCATAATCAAACATCTCTGACATGTTTATGTTCCAACTTCCAACTATATTACTATAAACAAAACTATATATCTTAAATTTGATAACTAACAGGGACTGTGCCATGCATGGCTTGTTTTTGACTCCCAAGTGCGAAGCACATAATGGGAGTCTTTGCAGTTAGTGTGTCTGTGTGTGTGTATGTGTGTATGTGTGTCCGACTGTTCCACTGCTATCTCAGACCATACATCGGTTTTGATGAAAC